TTAACGTGGTTGAAATGCTTAAACTTAAAATTTGTTTTATTTATTTATATTTATTTTCCTTTTTGTTTGTAGATTTTTTTTGACCTTCGCGAATTGTGCGTGATCGTGAATTTCGTTACGCACAGTTGACATTGGGCGTGCGTCTCCGCTTCCGTTTTTACTTTTTTTATTTTTTTTTTGCCATTTCATGTCAAATATTTATTCTGTTCGTTCCGATGAGAGTCTATTTGCATGTAAGACATATTTCCGAATTGCCGTATCGCTGACTTTAAATATTTATCGCCAAACGTGATCTGAAATCGAAATCGTTGGTTGAGAAGAAGTTCGTCAAAGAAAAGATGTATGATCGTTTATTGGTTTAGGTTTGTGTAGGTCGTCTCTTTTATCTTTTTCTATTTATATTTATTTATTTATTTTTATATAATGAAATGCGAAAAACGTATTTTAGGTGTTGTCTAAATGCGATAATGCGTCAAGGTTATCGAATTGAAATTTTAATTGAGTTTGATTTGAAAAAATCATATTTCAAGAAATAATTACTCAAACAATTACTTTTATACTTCCTAAACGAAGGAGACTTTATTTCTTATCTTTTATAACTATATTTGTTTACATTTACCAGTCTTTCTCTATTTTAATCATAAAAATTCATCGGTGGTCACATTTCTTAAATAAAAATTGTTTCAAACCAAGACAATATCTTTTTTTAATTAGCACTACTTTCTAAGATGTATTAGATCTTGAATGAAGTGGTCTTTTAGCTGAAATATACAATAGCTAACGGATACTCAAGAAAAGTTATTAGAATGTGCAAAAATCATTCAGCTGTATAATAAAAAAATTTGTTGTGTGAATAGCTTATGAGAGTTTTGTTAACGTTGCATATTTATTCAGCGAACAACAGAGTACAAATATTTGTAATTTCGTAATTTAAATACACTCGTGCAGAAAAATCGATCGATGTGGAAACAAACAAGTGCGATCAAGCGTAGAAAAGTCGTCGGACGTTTATCAAAAGAAATGTAACCAAAGTTAAGATCACCTCACAGTTGAAACTAATCCAAAACGAACATGTATAAAGTGTGTGTTTATACAGGATGTCTCAAAAAATGTACTCACACTTTAACACTAATATGCTGCCTTTTTTGTATTGCAGGTGTAATTAATTAAGCACAGCATGGAAATCACCTTAGTTTGGAAGAGTGGAAGTTTGTCTTGAAATGTTATTGGAAGATGGAAAAGTCCATTGAAGTGCAAAGACGATTTTGAAGCGGATGGAACCGTTCAGAACGTCAACAAGAAACGTTCTGGACGACCACAGGGAGCCAAGAGCCCTGGAAAAGAAAAGCAGATGCAGGAAACATTCCTTCGAGCACCACAGAAATGTTTTTGACAAACTGCTCGGGAAGCACACATCTCAAAAGAGCGTTTATCGCATCATGAAGCGTTTGCATTGGAAATGCTACATTCCAACTTTAATCCATGCTCTCAACGAAGACAATCCTGACTGGAGTTCAATGATACCTGGCAAAATGTGCAGAAAATGCAGGGTTTCACACAAAATTGTGTGGAGCGATGACACATCCTTTAAATTAAATGGCTGCATTCATCGCCATAATTGCACGTACTGGAGTCTTGTAAATCCACATGTAACACTTGAACGTCATGTAAACTTACTAGGAGTAACAGTGTGATGTGGGATATCCGCATTGGGCATCATAGGACCTTTTTTTGTCATTGGAACAAAAGGAACTGTCATTGGTGAGAGATACCTCAACTTGCTTCAGGAATTAGTCGGTCCACGAATTTCAGCGATGTTTGGTGATGACGACGAGATTTCCTTTTAGCAAGATGGAGCACCTCGCCACTACCATCGCGATGTACGAGCTCACCTCGATGCAGCTTTTCCAGACATATGGATTGGCATTGGACGAAGGGGTACCATTGAATACCATGCGCATTCCCCAGACCTCACGCCCATGAACACCATCGAAAAGTTTATGGCACCAAACCAAGAACAATCGATGCATTGAAATTGGAAATTGAAAGATATTCCTAATGAGCTAAATAATGTTTTTCTCGTCATTCGAAGTGTGAGTACATTTTTTAGATACATCCTGTAAGTATTTAGGTTGTTGTTATATCATCCATAAATAATATCGTACCTTAAAATTGTCACTTGCCCTTGTTAAAATGCCTTCATTAAGATGATGTATTAGGATACCTAGAACGGAGATAATTTTTTAATATAGAAAACCTTCAATAAGTTCAAAACTTTAATTGCAGCTGATTATAAGCTATACTTAGAGGCTTCACAGACTAGCTTGTCCGATAATCCTAACAGTCTGTGGTCTTTTATTAAATCGAGGAAAAAAGGCAGCATGAGTGTTCCCAGTAAGATGTCGTATGGTGATCGAGTAGTTGAGGGTGGGGAGGAAATTTGCAAACTATTTGTTGACTATTTTAGTTCTGTCTTTGTTGATGGAACTTTAGTTGATGTCAGCGACTGCTCTTCTTCGGGAATCACACCTTGGTTCTCACGTGGTGATATTCTACAGGCGTTGTTACTTGTGAATCCTAGAGCGGGTGCGGGTCCGTACAGCCTACCAGGCGTGTTTTTTCGTGAGTGTGCTTACTGAACCACTTTTTTACATTTTCAATACTTCTCTGCGAACGGCTATTTTCCCAACCGAATGGAAAAAAGCCCATCCATAAGGCTGGCGACCGAAATTTAGTCGTCAACTACAGACCCATTTCTATTCTGTCAATTGCCTCTAAGATCTTTGAACGTCTAGTTTACGATCTGCTTTTCTCTAAGGTCAAATCTTACATAATCCCGGAGCAACACGGCTTTTTTCGTGGCAGGTCAGTGGAGTCTAACCTAATCACATTTTCTAATTTTTTACTGAATGCTCTAGACAAAAATTACCAGGTGGATGCTGTATATACAGACTACAGTAAGGCCTTTGACAGAATAGATCACGGAATTCTTTTTAAGAAACTCTTTAATTATGACATCCCTGTTGGTTTGATTTATTGGTTATCTTCTTACATCTCTANGATTGAACGATTTCACCGTACTTTGAAATCAGCGATTATTGCTCGAGGTAATTCTACTAGATGGAACAATGACTTGCCTTTGATTCTCCTAGGTCCCAGGTCATCCCTAAAGGAGGATTTAGGTTGCTCATCTGCTGAATTGGTTTATGGTCAGCAACTCAGATTACCAGGAGAATTTTTCTTACCTACCGAATCATCAATTGAAACTGAACCATTATTATCACGTTTAAAATCATCTTTTGCTGATATTAAACCAGTTCAGTCAACCATACATTCCAGCCAAAAACCTTTTGTTCACAACGAAATATTCAGGTAAAACTTTGTATTTGTTAAAATTACTGGAATTAAACCTACGTTGTCTCCTAGGTACGAAGGTCCCTTCAGAGTGTTGAAGAGATTTTCAAAATTTTTCGTTGTATTGAAAGACAGTAAAGAAATAAATGTAAGCCTCGATTTGCTGAAACCGGCTTTCTTTCTGAACGAAAACGTTTCTCCTGAATACAACAATTTAATAATTAATAAAACTAAAAAAGTACATTTTAAATTTTAATTCAAATTTTTGACTAAATGTTTTCTCTCTTTCTGTTCTTTCTTTATAGGAGGGGAAGTGGATGTAGCGTGCTGTGGCAGTAGCTCCATTTGAAAACATAAAATTGTATTTCATTTATTATTTTTTTTATATTTGCACACAATTGTTTTTGATGCAAAACATAACAGACACAAAATAAAAAGTCTGCTAAAAAGTTAATTTTGTAATTTTATTATTATGTTGGCTAATACTTCATAGCCACAGACCCCAAGGGGTCCGTAGGAACCACTTTGGGAACCACTGGATTGGACGAAGGGGTACCATTGAATACCATGCGCATTCCCCAGACCTCACGCTCATGAACACCATCGAAAAGTTTATGGCACCAAACCAAGAACAATCGATGCATTGAAATTGGAAATTGAAAGATATTCCTAATGACCTAAATAATGTTTTTCTCGTCATTCGAAGTGTGAGTACATTTTTTAGATACATCCTGTAAGTATTTAGGTTGTTGTTATATCATCCATAAATAATATCGTANTTGATAACCAGCGCCCACCAGATAAAAATAAATAATCAATGCCCTTTGGCCTCCGTAATGCTGCTCAGACCTTTCAGAGATTCATAAATGAAGTTCTTATTCGTTTATTTAGATGACATTCTTATTGCAAGTCATAACGAAGAAGAACATTATGTACATCTCGAGAAGTTATTTGAACAGTTAAGTACATTCAATATCAACATCCAACCATCTAAATGTGTTTTTGGAGTTACTTCCATTGATTTTCTTAGCCATCATATCACTAGCGATGGTATTCAACCTTCTAAGTCTAGGATTGATGCTATTTCAAAATTTCCCAAACCAAAAACATTGAAGGAANTTCATAAACATCTTTCTAAAAAAAGTAGTAGTATATAAATTCTTTTAGAAATCCTCTTAGTTTTGAGTACCAACCCAACCTAAAAACAAAAAAAAAGGAAACAAATTTCATCTCAAAATTACATTCGTCCCCAAAAGTTCAGTGGCCACGTTCACATTAACTCTTTCAGGAAAAGCACACAAACGGAATTCATCACCAAGAATTAAAGTGGATAGCTCGAGATGGAACATTTCACAAAGATTTTCTTCCCCACTTTGTAGTCGTCCGGCTTTAGCAAAAACCCTTTATTTACAAAAAAAGACAAAAAAAAAAATGTAGAGTTCAAAAAAGGAACGGAAATTCTCTTAAAATCCTTAGATTTGAAAAAGTGATAAGAAAAAACTCTTCTGCTACTTGTACTGAAATATACCAAGAAATGAGTGATTGTAGAATGAAAAGAATTGGTGACGGGAGCTTGCGCACTCCGACTTCTCCATTATCAGATGGCTATATACACGAATCGGATCCGCATGGAAGCGTCAGTGTCTGAATAGTATTGGACTCGGACCGAACCGAGACAACCAAACCAAATAAAATATACCGCGTAAATTTTCGCGTTAGTTACGCACGGTTTTTTTTTATACTTACAAAGAAAATTATTACAAAAAGTTTTGGTTGAATCGGTGTAAAACATCTTCAACGTTAAGATTTTCTTTCGAATTTTCTAAAAATAATTATTTTTTTTTTGAAAAATCGAAAATGAAGATCAGTGCGATTGTTACAATCTTTTTCGTCAACTTTTTCGGTTCGAAAGCTGCTTCATTAGGCTCCAATGAAGTTATGGTAAGTATATTTTTCAATTTTGTAACAAATTTTAAAATTTCGCATCGATTCGCGAGAATTCCTTTCGAAATATCTCCCTTATCTAATCTTTCTAAATAATAATAGATTATTCATCTTTTTGTGGGACTCGATTCGTAATCCATAAACAATCATTGTTTTTTTAGTGATAAAATAATTTTGTGAATTACCTTATTTGGAACATTTTAAGTTCTTTGTTAGTTTTTAATTTCTAAAAAATTTATTATTTGAGTTGAATTCGAATTAAAAAAGTTGTTTCTTTCAACTTTAAATTTGAATTGGCTTAAAAGTTTTGAAAGAAAATGAATCAAAAATATAAATTAAACTTTTCATATTCAACTAAAATATTTATTAGATTTAAGTTTATTCTTTAAACTTAATCATTAAAAGTCTCCTTGCAAGTTTAAAGTTGGGTTAGTTGCAAATTATAGAACTTCTTTAATTCAAGTTTAGGCTAAAAAGTTTCAAAATTTTATAATTAAATGGATAAAATTTAGAGAAAAAACAATTTATATTTTAAATTAAGCTTAAAATACTTTAATTAATTAAAGTCAAATGAGTTTTTTTACGTTTTTAATTACTCAACCTATTTTTATTTATTCTTTTTTAACTAGACAAAGAACTCACTGCGAATTAAAAGAAACACAAAATGACTGATAATTCCAACTTGTATAAAATCGAAGCTAAAAAAAGCAAAAAGAGATTCTGGCACGTGATTAAAAGTGCGGTTTTCTCTATTCACCTCCAACGCAACATATATTTTGCATGCAAGAAAAGAGTAATATTGATTCGGTTTCCAACACAAAAGCTTTTTCTATTGTTAAGTTTTCAGTGTTTTGATGTAAGTTAATTACGTTTCATAAATTAAACTGTAGACTTTGAATCAGGAACAAGGTCGAAAGGTATCAGGAGAAAATGTGTGTTTTATGTTCGATAAATTCCGTCGATTTCTAACATTTTGATAAGAGAAAATGAGAATGTTTCTAGTTCTAGGTCTAGTGTTAGTTCTAATACTAGTATTAGTTCTAGTTTTATTTGTTATTGAGTGTTAATTTGTTGTATGTTTTTAATTGAACTAAAACTAGAACTAACACTAGACCAAGAACTAGAAAGTATCGGGCGCACGGCTAAACCCGAAAATTTCTATTTCTAGGTCTAGTGTTAGTTTTAGTTTTACACTATCACTAGAACTAACACAAGACCTAGAACTAGAATCATTCGGCTTTAGCCGTCTTGAGAGACGTGCGGCTAAATCCGAATGATTCTAGTTCTAGGTCTAGTATTAGTTCTAGTTTTATACTTACACTGTCACTAGAACTAACACTATAACTAGAACTAGAATCATTCGGATTTAGCCGCACGTCTATTAAGACGGCTAAACCCGAATGTTTCTAGTTCTAGGTCTAGTGTTAGTTCTAATACTAGTATTAGTTCTAGTTTTATTTGTTATTGAGCGTTA